GGAAGGACAGAAGTAGATTGGTAGAGGTGACATTTTGCAAAGGAAAAGAAAATAGCTTTAAACTTCTGAGTCATACATGCAGCAATCCTGCTTCTTCACTGCAAAGTAGGAGAAAAAACATTTTGTGTTAAGAAGGTGATAGCCAGAAGTGGGCTTAGAGCCTTCTATGAAACCGCTCATTAAGATTGTCTAGTCCAGGACCCCTCCCCACTTCCAATGACCTCCTGCCCCATGCCCAGCAGTATTTCCAAATGCCTCAGCTCAGAGCCGAATTCTCAAAATTCACTTAATCTGAACTCACTTTGGTTTAATAATTAAACAAAAAGTACCTTAAAATTTTTAGGAAAGTGGGAATGAGAAGGCATGAGAAGGGCATGAAAAGACACTGGAAAAGCAAAATACTATGTGGATGTTAACTCTATCAAAGCAGCACATTCTTGCTGGATGAGGGCTGGGGGAGGGGGGCATTATTCTGGGCACAGCAAGTGTTTTATCTGCAATTGACAAATCCCCAATCCTCCCAGCTTCTGTTTCTCCCTACTTAAGACCTGGGTCACAGTATTTATTTACTTAAGTGATGGAGATGAAGGCAGGCTTAACGCTGGCCACCTGTCAGAACAACAGTGACCTGCCTCTTAAGGGGATTTTGGCATCCCCCAGCATCTTTATAAGACAAAAGGAACTGGGGAGAAAATTTAGAGAAAAAATTCACTAATTGAGCTTTCAAAAGATGGTGAGATGAAATGTAAAGACCCAAAGGGCAAGAGAGGCTAAGATCCATGGGTGCCGTTTAATGCGACTTGAAAGAATACAGCCCCCTTCCTGTTCTGAGATTAGATGGGATTTTGCAAACTAAGATACCCAAACTGAAAAATCAGTCTCCCTGATCTGCCTCTAGCAAATGCCCTTGGCATTCTTCATGTTCTTTTTTTTAATTTATTTTTTAATTGGAGGAAAATTGCTTTACAATGTTGTGATGGTTTCTGCCATACAACAATGCAAATCAGCCATAATTACACATATATCACCTCCCTTCCCTCCCCACACCCCAGCCCTGCAGATCATCACAGAGTGCCTGCCTGGCCTCCCTGTGTTTGTTAAACAGCAACTTCTTACCCGCTATCTAGTTTACACATGGTGGTCTAGAATAATGGAAATAAAAACAAAAATAAACAAATGAGACTTCATGAAACCTAAAAGTTTTTGCACAGCAAAGGAAACAATAAGCAAGATTGAAAGACAACCCTCAGAATGGGAGAAAATAATTGCAAATGAAACAATTGACAAAGGATTACTCTCCAGAACATATAAGCAGCTCATACAGCTCAATGGGTAGAAGACCTAAACGGACATTTCTCCAAAGAAGACATATTCTTGTAAAGAAAGATTCGTTAATGGTTTCCAATGCCTGCAAACAGACACACTTTCTCGGAAACAATGCTCTTGTAGGTGAGAAGTCGACAGGCAGGTCCTGCCTGGAGAATCTCAAGGCAGCACAGGAGATGGTGTTTAATTAGTGTGTGTTACCACTTACTAAGATGCCAGGCAGTGATCTCCACATCACGTAACATAGGCCAACAATGTACAATGACGTCGTCATCATCACCATCACCCCCCTTTTACAGGAAGGGTGAGTACCCAGCCAAAGGTATCCGTGCCAGCTTGAGGGGAAGCCAGGCCCCGGGGAGCCAGGCACTGGCTCTAGGCTCTGTGCTCTTCCGTACCGCACCGTGCTGGGCTTCAAGGGGGAAGGACGTGGTGCAGCTGGATGCAGTCACAAAGCCCTGTGCGGTGCGCTTCAGCAGGCCCCGGGGTGAGGGCAGGGGAGTGCCCCAGGCCCCAGAAGCCTTCCATCAGCTCTTGGACGGCATCCTCCTTTCCGTCCTAGAGGTCGGGTGATGAACAGGATATCGACTACAGAGTCAAATGGACCTTCCATTTCCCTAGGGAATGACTTTGAACCTTCCATTTTCCTAGGGAATGTGACTTAGCTTTTGGAGTCTCAGTTTCCTATCTAAAAAGTGGGGCTTATGTAACCTCTCCCAGGATTCTGAGACCCTGATGCTGGGGAAGACTGAAGGCAAAAGAAGAGGGGGGCGCAGAGGATGAGATGGTTGGCTACCCTCACTGACTCAATGGACATGAATTTGAGCAAACTCCAGGATATAGTGAAGGACAGGGAAGCCTGGCGTGCTATAGTCCATGGGGTCACAAATAATCAGACACGAGTTGGAAACTGAAAAACAACAGAAATAAAATAGGAAACCGACTCAGCAGAGTGCCTGGTGACAGAGGATAGAAAGTGCATGATGTCTACGAGCTATTTCTGATGTTTCCTTGTTATAAAGCCCAGCAGAGAAAACGTCTGGCCTTGGGACAGTCATCCTGGGCGCCCCCGGAGGCGGTTCACACATATGGAATGGTGAACCTGGACTGGCTGAAGGAAGCTCTGTCTGAGCCAGTCCACCCCCTAGATTAACAGACGGGGCTGCTTCCTGCCCCCACACAATGGAAAGCAATTTTAGTAAGTGCTTAGCTTAATTAGTGTCCAGACGTGCTCTCAAGGGCTGGGCACGCACACTTGTCATCGCGATCATCCACCTGTCTCTGGAGAGCCTGCTTTTCCAGAAGTCTGGGCCTAACTCCCTACACTGTAACCAGCTGAAATTCCCATTCGGTCAACGCTCAGCTCAGCACCCAGGGAATGAGCCTGAAATCACCACCCTCTTCTGCTGATGCAGTAGGTCAAGGAAGCATGGTTAACCTCCACAGCACATCTCAGCTACTAAGGTCATAGACCACTTCTGGCTCTGGGTGGCCACCCAAGACACTTCATGAGTATTAACAGTATGAATCTGAGCCAGAATTCTGGCCTAGGACATTCTCTGTAATTTGTTGGTACTGAAATCAAAAAATTCTTTTTGTGGATTATACCAAAGGATGCCCCGTGGGTAGGAAGGGAGGAAGATGTGTCAGAATGCTACAATCCAACAGGCACTGGAATGCAGATGTATGGGATATATTGCAGATTCAAGATCATGCTGCTTTTCTTTAATGGCTCTCCCAGAGAAAATAAAAGAAATGAAATATGGTTTTCCCCACCCGGCCCCCTGCTGCCTCCTGGCTGCCACAAACATTCTAGTGGCGCGTGCGGGCTTAGTCTCTAAGTCATGTCTGACTTTTTGCAACCCCACGAACTGTAGCCTGCCAGGCTCTTCTGTCCATGGGATTTCCCAGGCAAGAATACTGGAGTGGGTTGCCATTTCCTCCTCCAGGGATTCTAGTGGGGGACATTATTTATTTAAAAATAAAAAGTGGGGGGGGGATGGTGACTGCTCCTGGGGACCAAAGAGAGCATGCATGCAGGGGTTACTCTGTAACCCACTGGTTTGTCTTCTCAATACCACACACATGTCCACAACAGTCCCTCTTCTGCACAGCCCCTCTGTTCCTCTAGAAATTACAATAGCTAAAGATGAAATCCTCACCTTCTGAAATCTACAGCAAGACAGATGACAGCATGATGGAAGGAAAGAGTACGCTGAGTGCCTTATCGATCTACCTGCCAGCCCGTGAATGGCAGGTAATAAAAATTTATTGAAAATTAGAAAAAAAAAAGTCACTTATTCTAATTCCTCTGAAAGGGAGTACCAATGCTGCATATGAATAAATCCCTCTTTCCCCAGGACTAAACTACCACCCTCCCACCAGCCAACCCTCCAAACAGTACAGATTTAAAAATCTTGCAATTTTATTTGCATATAAAGGCCGCTAGATATAGAATATCACAATAAATTTAAAGGAACAACTGCTTTCCTAAATTTCATTAACAAGATAACATAAAATAGAATAAAGCTCAACAGCATTTACAATGGGAAAACAGAAATGACTATTAGCGACAATATTTTGTGCTAGCGAAGATTGCATCAACACACAGTGCAAAATGGGGGGGTGGGGAGGGAGAAGGACGTAAGAAGACAATTCAGGGTATTTAAATATAAAGGACAACTAAGCCTTATTTTAGTTAGCTTCCATTGCATCCATTTAAATCTATACACGCCTGCAAGTGTACCTAGATTTAACTCAAGCTCTTTAAGACCTTGAGTTCTGAGAACATGCGTCATCTCCTTCGGACTTCTGATGCTCCACTATCAAGCAGCCCTTTACAGTTGTACTGTCCTTGGCAATATTAACTCCTAACTTAGTCATAATACACAAAAAATATTTATATATATAAACCCATATTGAAAAGGAGTCTGCACGCTCTTTTTTTTAACTGCATGAAATACCTGCTCTTGACAGATTCCATTTCCATATTTTTAAAGCTAAAATAATTTAAAAGAAACAAACAGACGATGAGACCTTGTATAACCACAATATGGATCTCACTAGCTAAGCCATCCTCTAAACGAGAGTTGTTTTTTCCCCTTGACACTGCTTTATAGTGAGAGTGTGAAGGGAAGTCTTTTCCACACCTACTTTTGTTGCAAAGACTGCTCTAAATCTGGGCCACGTCTGCAAAAAAGAAGCATTCCCAAGAAAAACAACACAACAACAACAAACATCATAAAAATAAAATACTTCAAACAATACTCTTAAACTGTTGTGCAAATCTGGGTGGTTTTTAAAACACTGCCTACCTGCTTTATTTCTTTTTTTTTTTTTCCAGCTTAAAGCATATTAAAATAAGACCTTTTTCACCTTTTCAAAAGAAAGCTTGGCTGTCCTTTGGCGAACACTAACAATTTACAATGGCGTGGCCTTTGAGAAAACAGAAGTCATTTTACAAATTCACAACGCTCTTTTGATTCGAATGGATGCCCCATTTAAAAAAACAAAAAAAGAAGAAGCATAACCTCTAGCATCATTTGTGTTCCAGCAATTTACAAAAAGAACTCACAGGATCTGGAAATAAACAAGGAAGAGAATGTAAGTTTATAATTAGAAAAATGGCAGTTTTTTTAGACCTTTCCTCACATTCCAATTGGGTGTTAGGAGCTTCAAGAACCCTGTGGGTTTGGAAGGTCAAATATAATTGGAGGGTTGGTCGGTTGAAAGCTGACTGTACACGTTGAGGCATTGATGTACGTTGTGTAACCGTCGGTCATAATGCCATAACCTGTGGAGAGAGAGTGTCACATTTACTGTGAAATATACAAATGATAGTGACTCAGTGCAGGACTATCAGACAAGGCAAACAAAAAAGTCTTTGCCAGTGGGCAGTGAGATGAAATTCAGTGGAGCCCCCTCTGGATGTTACAGCTTTCAGAGGCTGCCTCCCGCTTTTATTTTCTTTAAAGGGGGAATCCTCTACTTCAAAGAAAAGTGATTCTTTTTAATTTATTTCGACACTCGATTTGTAGAGGAGAGGCTGTGATTTTTTTACTAGTGAGAATAAAGAAAAAAACATTTTTTCCCTGTTTTTTTTCAAATATGATTTTCATTTCAAAGCCCTGTATTAACTATTGAGTTCCAGGGAAGAAGATGAGTAACATAAACTCCTCAAGGGCACACACACCCTTTACTCAACCCCAAATGGGCTTCAAGACAGGCAGGACTCAGGCAGGGTATTGTACTGGCACTTGGGAGACATGAATGCCTAGCTTCTTTGTCTATAAAATAAGCTCTAAACTGCCTCAATCAAAGTTAACCATAAGTCAACTTTTAAAAATTAATTTATTTGGCTCCGCTGAGTCTCAGCTGCAGCACGCAGGATCTTCGGTTGTGGCATGTGGGATCTAGTTCCCTGACCAGGAATTAAACCTGGGCCCCCTGCATTGGAAGTGCTGGAATCCTTGCCACTGGACCATGAGGGAAATTCCAACATTAAGTGACCTTACTGTCAACTACAAACTGGGGCTTGCCAAGGGCATTTGCCATCTGCCTCTGTGGAAATAGAATCCCGTGTTGCTGCAGCTGTTGACTTTCAACATGCCCTGAAGGCAGGTCAGGATGGAGAGTGAGGCACTCTGTCTGTGCTCCAGGGAAACTGGTGGAACAGGTCTTTAGATAGTTAAGATATTTTCAGGGACTGATTTCTTGACCAACCCGCTGTTGTTCAGTCGCTCAGTCGTGTCCGACTCTTTGTGAACCATGGACTGCAGCACTTCAGGCTTCCCTGCTCTTCATCATCTCTGGGAGTTTGCTCAAACTCATGTCCACCGAGTTGGAGATGCCATCCAACCATCTCATCCTCTGTCGTCCCCTTCTCCTCCCACCTTCAATCTTTCCCAGCATCAGGGTCTTTTCTAATGAGTCAGCTCTTCGCATTAGGTGGCCAAAGTATTAGAGCTTTAGCATCAGTCCTTCCAATGAATGCTCAGGACTGATTTCCTTTGGGATGTATTGGATGGATCTGCTTGCAATCCAAGGGACTCTCAAAAGAGTATTCTCCAGCAGCACAATTCCAAAGCATCAGTTCTTCAGTGCTCAGCCTTCTTTATGGTCCATCTCTCATGTCTACATGATTACTGAAAAAACCATAGCTTTGACTACACGGACCCCAACCCTTGCATCTCTTCATATCTAGAAAAGCACTAAATCCCTCCATGGTGACATCAGCTCCTCGTGACTAGCAGAAAAGCTTTTATAAAGTAAATGCTTGATTGCACTGAATGCCCCTTCACCAAAATCTTATATATTGACATTCCTCTACTACCTCTTTGGAACAGTTTCTCAGTTATCTGAGGTGCTGTCTCCTAGGCTGCAGTTCTCATTTTGCCCCCAAATAAAACTTAAGTCAAAACTCTCACATTGTGCATCTTTTTAGTCAACATTTTCTTACTTGAATTGTGTGACTTTGATGCTGAGTTCCATTTTATTCAAAAGAATCAGGAAATAATCAAATATCTGAAGTCTTCCTGGGTAGCTCAGCAGTAAAGAATCTGCCTGCAATGCAGGAGACTTGGGTTCAACCTCTGGGTCAGGAATATCCCCTGGAAAAGGAAATGGCAACCCACTCCAGTAATCCTGTTTGGAAAATCCTATGGACAAAGGAGGCTGGTGGGCTACCATTCTTGGGGTCGCAAAGAGTCGGACACAACTTAGGAACTAAACAAGAAACCATCAAATGTCCAAGTGGTCTGGAGAGACGCCACCATAGGACACTGCTTCCTACACCACCGGACACTGGCTCAAGTGAAAACACTTCCCATAGGCAGTATAAATCTCTTGTGACCTGTGAGAAGAAAGCTAAGCAGGTTTCTCTGGGTCTTTGGTACATATATTCATATCTCTTATAAATTTCAACACGTTGAAATTTTTAGCACGTTTGCAGATTCGCACATGTCCCTGGATACCTTATATTTTGTCTTATAGCCTCTGTAATTAAGTCTGTAATTCTATGTCGGTATCAGGTTCTTATGGCACACAAGACTACATCTGTGAAAAAAGAAATTTATCAGGACTTATACAAATAACTGATAAGGCTTTTTTTCTTCCATTTGCTAAAATTTCTCTAAATAAGCCTGTGGAGAGCTTAATGAGGGTCAATGGAAAAAATCTCTTAAGAAAAGAAAAGAAGCATTTAAAATGTGCACTGTTTAGTTCTGGGGTCATAAAGTCTTGTTATCTCTCTCCATCAAGAGGCTGGTATTTGCCCTCTCTCTGCCCTCTTCAGCTGTCTTAAATGAATAAAAGCAAGACAAGTTTATTTGAATATGATCGCCTTCCTTTTAAGCAAGTTTATTATTTGGGGACTTCAGTGGAATTCCTCAATTGTCTGGCTATTTTAAAGCTAATTAATGATTTTTTTTAAAAGGATAAAATGCAAACTTATAGGTGAGGATGCAGAAATTCATAACTGCTCCCCAGAAATGCTATTTAGACATAATCTTCCATCCTTCCCCTACTCCCAACCTGTATCAGGGCTTAGAGAAGTGCCCTCCTTTCCAAAGAGTGTGGTTCAAAGTCAGGGCAGGGTGATATCCGCTCTCAGGGAGCTGGCCCCTGCTCTCCATCCACACAGCTCATGCCTGCACTCGGAGCAAGCTGGATTTTCTCTGACCCCAGTAGGATGATTTTCAATATGCTGTTTATCACCCACCTAGCCAGGAAGCCACTGGATTGAGGACTTCGCAAAGAAAACTTTGGTTTTTCGCAGCATCAGGCCTAAACTCCTCACCTGCAGGTTCATAAATAACTCAGAGTAACAGCTGTAAGTGAGTGAATATGAGGCTGCCCACATACATACACTCATTGCACACAAACATATGAAACCAGGAGATGATGGTACAACCACAAAACCTAAGGCCTGTCTGTCCCAAGGCCCAGGGACCCCCGGTTTGAAAGAGTGAGGAGAGACAAAATCTAGGGCTTCCAGTGAGGCTTTCCGATTCTGTGAACTTGACTTCACAGCTTACCCTGAAAGGCAGAAAACAGCAACTTGACCAGTTCCCATCTAGGGGACATTTAATTATGCTGTTTAACCTCAGCCCCAACTAATAGCATTGATGATTTCTGAGAAGTCTGAAATGGTTTTCTGAGCTTAGTAAGGAAAAGTCTACCTGCAGATGTGTAGGTTCCGCCACTTCAGTTCTATATCTTTCATTGCATGTGCAAAGTTATTAATATATTTTGGAGAGTCTTATCTTGTGTATATTCCATATTAACTGTAATATTTATAGGTAGGAAAAGGCCAAGGACATTATTTAGTCTAAAATCCAGGCCACTTCTTCTAATGCTCTTCAAGAGAAAATCTGTCCTTTATTCTGTCTGTACTGCTCTGCAATAGTGGTTATCAAACACTCTTTATCAGAGTCCTGAGATTCCAGAAGTCATCTGGGGTTAGCGATGGGTTTCCCAAAAGGTGGACCAGACTTGGTTTCTTACTCTTTATGGAGGAGGCATGGCAACCCACTCCAGTACTGCCTGGACAACCCCTATGGACAGAGGAGACTGCTGGGCTACAGACTACGGAGTCGCAAGGAGTTGGATATGACTGAGCGACTGAGCACGCACATTCTGCTTAAAAGAGAGCAGTTCACAAAATACTTCTCAGCCTTATATGCAAGTGTTTCTCATAACATTTCATCTCATTGAAAGCATTCCACAGGTAAAGAGTTTGGAAACCACCACTCCAGTTACTCCCAGTAACTAAGGTCTCCATTGTGAAATGAGATCATGGATGACGACTGATAATGTTGTGAACCCCTTTCTTCTGGTTTTACCTTCATGGATTCCACCAAACACATGGAGTTTGGGCCGGACTCGCCTCTGGACTGTGTTTAAAAGCTCCACGCAGCCCACTCTCTGAAGTTCCTTTGGAACCCAGTCTCGAAAACCTAAGGGTAAAAGGCAATCAATACTCTTAATTTTCTGTCTTCAGGTAAGGTTTCATTTAGACTTTCAGGAAGCCATAACTCACAGAAGGTTTATTACATTATCTGTAATCCTAGCCTCCCCATTAAAGCTTACAATGGCTTTTAAGGAACTTTTCACTCGTTACTTTGTCTTCTTTAGGATCTTGAATTTTTTTTTTTTGGTTTCCATTTTTTTTCTTCCGTTAATTAACATTTTTCCCCCCTGTGAGGGATTTGATTTATTCAGCCATGGGCTTCAAATCTTCTTCATGGGCCCAGTGACATTTATTCCCGGCAGTCCCATACTCTCTCTTTTTCTCAATTCAGTTGCTTTCTTTTTTTAAAAATTATAGCTCTCTTAGAGTAGTCTACTTCCAAGATGTAGACTTTAAAGAAGGGCTGGGAGGGACTTCCTATAAACTGGCCACAAGATACCTTATTCTCTTTATTTTATTTTTATTATCATTTTTTATCTTTGGCAGCACAGTGTGGCATGTGGAGTCTTAGAGTTCCCCGACCAGGGATTGAACCCATGCCCCCTTGCAGTGGAAGTACAGAGTCCTAACCATTGGACCACCAGGGAAGTCCTTGTTCACTTAAACACATCAACTCTTAACCCTTGGTGGTTCCTGATGACCCAAGCTTGGGAATGCCGAGCTCTTCCTCTGGCCTCCTCTCTAGCAACTGGGCAGCCATGGTGACCCTGTGGTGGCATGCAGTAAGCTGGGGCTGATGGCTGCCTCTATGTAAAAGCCACTTAGTTCTATGCCTAATGCAGAAAATCCATAAAAACTGACATCTATTATAGCAAAAGTCAGCTATCTGAATGATTATGGCCCAGAATGGAATCCCATCGCCTCAGCGGGATGGGGTTTAAGAAAGCAGACAGGCCAAAAGGCTAAGTCATAATCAGTGGAAACACATGCCATAGCTCTATTAGGTGATTTCTACCACTCAGAACTGATCAGGCAGAGAGGGAGAGGCCAGCTCACTCCACTTTGTTTGGCAAAACAGTAGAAATGAAGTTTCAACATCTCTATAAAGACATGCTGACTGGGGAGTGGCCAGAGAATATGGAAAAGCATGGAATACAAGCAAGGGGCCCTAAAAAATATTCAATCAGAGATTTAAAAACTTTGCTAATTAGAGGAAAAAAACTTCAATCCACAGTGACTGGGATATTCCCTCATGGATGTATTTTTTTTTTGAAGAGGGAAAACATCTCATTTCATATATAATCACCTGAGAAAGTGTCTTGCTTGTACCATAATAATGAAGTCCCATGTGCCATGGTTCCTCTCTTAACAGGAAAAGATTCAAGGCCAATCCCCACATCCACCTCCTACCTTCTAGTCCAGAATGCTCACAAGAATTCCCAGTAACTACACCGATAAATGTTCAGCTTTACCTAATGAAAACTTTGACCTTTTATTAATAGGGCTTCTCTGATAGCTCAGTTGGTAAAGAATCCGCCAGCAATGTAGGAGACCCCGATTCAATTCCTGGGTCAGGGAAAGGCTACTCACTCCAGTATTCTGGCCTGGAGAATGCCATGGACTGTATAGTCCACGGGGTCGCAAAGAGTCAGACACGACTGAGCGACTTTCACTTTTATGGGTATTTTGGAACTCTCCGATGTAGATCTTACTCTGCTCCATGCACAGCCGCTCTCTGGGTTACTCCATCTTTACTACAAAGAGAGGGATGGCAGGCTCTCTTAATATTAAGACTTCCCGGATGGGGGTGGGATGAATTGGGAGATTAGGATTGACGTATATACACTACTGATACTATGTATAAAACAGATGACTAATGAGAGCCTACTGTATAGCACAGGAAATGCTATTCAATGCTCTGTGGTGACCTAAATGCGAAGGGAATCTCCTCCCAAAAGAGATAGATGTATATGAGTAGCTGAGTCACTTTGTTGCACAGAAGAAACCAACAAAATATTGTAAAGCAACTATAAGCCAATAAAATTAATTTAAAAAAAAAAGAGTTCCTGGAATGTATGAATTCTTTGGAGGCCAGAATTCAGACCGACTGCCACTTGCTTTTGTACCAAAGTTAATGACTGTTAACAACACATCAATTGTTCTGTTCAAAATTATTTTCCAAATAATACTTCAGGCAGGTAAACATTTCTATGCTGAGGATGCCCAAGTCCCTGACAGTAAACAGCCTTAAGAGTAAGATCAAGCCCAGACCTAACTAGGTTACTCGGGGAAAGGATGGAGTTGGCTAGGATTCGGTCTCTAGTGTCTCTCTATTTAACTCATGCTGAGCACAATATTTAGCCAACAATTTAATGACTTAGTCTCCAATGACTGCAAAACAGGGAAATTAATTACTTATCACTTGATAAAGGTTACTGATAAGTATAACCGTGTAAAGTGTGGAGGAGGTGGGGGTGGGGTAGGGAAAAAGCACAGGGATGGAGATTCTGAAGCTTCGAAAAGTCGGGGAGCGCTGATCTTGTGCAAACCTGTATAAATTCCCTGTCTGCAACAGAACTGGCTCCTTGCCTTGTTTTCCCTTCACTCCTCTTTATGAAAATGTGCCACCGTGGCTCATGCCCTGGTCCTCCCTTCCGCTGTTTCTTTGTGAAACACACAGCACTTCCCTTGTCAGGGCAGGAAGGCAGCGCCAAGTGGCATGGGTGGGGACGGGGTAACATCTACGAAGATTAAATTCACATCAGGGGATGTGCGTTAGGGATTTTTTATTTTTCAGGTTGACAGAGGAGGGAAGTGACATGGGTAATAACCCCAAACCACAGGAAAAAAATTACAAAAATCATTTATTTTTGCATTGTTTTCCCCCTCTCTCCAAACCAAGAGGATCAAGAACACTTTCCTAGCACTGAACATTTAACAATTTAACACGACAGATTTCATGTTATCTAGTTTTTAATACAATTTTTTTTTTAAAGAGGAAACTCTCCTACTAAAAAGGAAACATCTGGATTGACAGAGAATACCTTCGTTTGGACAAGGATGTGCCAGCATAATAGACACTCAGTAGATGGGAGGATCAGGGTGGTAGTCCTGTTTGAAAAGGGGCTTCTCAAGTGGCTCAGCAGTAAAGAAGCCGCCTGCCAAGCAGGAGATGTGGGTTCTATTCCTGGGCCGGGAAGATCCCCTGGAGAAGGAAATGGCAACCCGCTCCAATATTCTCGCCCACGAATCCTATGGGTAGAAGAGCCTGGTTGGCTATAGTCCGTGGGGTCGAGAAAGAGTCAGACACGATTTAGTGACTAAACCACAACCTGCTTGAAAAATATTCTGTGGCTAAACCAAACCACTAACAAGCACATGAATCATTAGAAGATAATTATATAAATCAAATAATCATTTTCTGACATACAGTCTGGGTAACTGAAGGTAGCTACGGTGCATACTGGCAATCTAAACCTGGATGCAGGTTCACTGTATCCATAAGATCCAGCATCTTTAAGTAAGGTTCAATATACTGCGCTGTGGTTAGTCGCTCAGTCGTGTCCAACTCTTTGCGACCCCGTGGACTGTTGCTCACCAGGCTCCTCTGTCCATGGGGATTCTCCAGGCAAGAATACTGGACTGGGTTGCCATGCCCTCCCCCAGGAGATCCAGGGAGCGAACCCAGGTCTCCCGCATGACAGGCAAATTCTTTTCCATCTGAGCCACCATAAGTCCTTACTTAACACCTTAGCTTAAAAAGAGAGAGAGAGAAAAGATTCTTTTCCTGTATAATTAGCTCAGTGCTAAACTTTTAAAGATCTCCTATTACATGGAAAAGGAAAATGAGCTCCTTTAAATGAAAGATTCCATCATTTCATTACCATTCAAAAGCCCTGTGATTGGGAGGTCTGTGTCTTCCTTCCATTCCCCACCCCACCCCCTCACTCCAAAGTGAATACAGTTCTTAAAATAAATGATCAAGCTCAAAGGACTGTGGTGCTATATGCTCATTTGATTTTTTTCCTGACTTGACTAAATCAAAAAAATTTAATTTCAAGAACACCTGTAAGCCCAGCAGAACTGCTGAGTTTAATTATCATACTGGGTTTCTTTAAAGACACTGACTTTTCTTTTTTCGATCACTTTTTTTTTTTGGAGGAAAATGATTATGTCCCTGAAGCATTAGTCATTATGCTTGGGAAAAAAAGGCATCACAGATAACGAAAGGACACCTTTGCTTCACTTACCTAGAGGAGGTCCGTGTGTCATGAGTATGTCAATGCCCTCGGGGATGAGGTTCCACTTGTCCAGCAGAGACTGACCTCTGGGCAGGTTAAAGCCCCATCCATTAAACCACGGGGTCCTTTGGGGGAGATAATGTACATGGTATCAGGCCAGCAGAGCCACATTTCTGCTCTCCATTTCTCTCTCACACATTTATTCCCCTACGGTTTGCATTGCTCTCTTTTCTCTTTTTGATGGTTGGCCCTGGCAGCAGGGTGCTTTTTTGTTGACTGCTTCAAAACCAATGCATCTGAAAGCAAGTGTGGAGCCTCGGAATTGTTCAACTAGAAAGCGGCACAAGAGCCTTTCCAGTGGAGACTTTCCCAGCAGACCTCTATCAAAATCTTAACAATGCTTTGTCTTCCCCCAAATCTCAGTGCTTCGGAAAGATGCCCAAGCCAGATCCGAAGCCTGTCCACTCTTGCTATAGTGCCTCAGGGCTAAGAAATTTCATCAGCCTCCCTTCTTCCTCACCATCACTATGGAAGGGCTTCACCAGAAAGATTCTTTCTGAAATTCTTGGAGAAATAGACAAGCGCTCTGAAGGCAGAAACCTGTGAACTTAAGAGATGTTTTGAACATCCTGGACTTGAGAATGCTGAAAAATGTTGGGAGGTGGGGTGCTGTGAAAGGTGAGAAGGGACACAGGGAACAAAAACTCAATGTGGAATTCCCCCATCACCAAAAGGAAGACTTCTGGGGACACCCTTGGTCACTCTGGAATCCACTCTCCTGATACCAAATGCACGCATTCCACCCTCTCAGGGATGTCTGCTCCAGGAATGAGTTTCTGAGATCGATGTTCTACATAGAAATGATGGTGTCTTTGTCCATCCAATGAGGATTTCTAACTAGAGCTGAAAATGTCTCCATCATTTATAACAACAGGAGAATCATCAATTTTTTTCTATAAGGACTACAGGCTAAATCACATCCGCACCAAACAGTGCCCAGTGCTGTCCTTTTCCCAGACATCTAGATGGAACCATTATTTTTCAAATAATGGTTCTCTTTTGTGCTGCAGGAAAATTCTAATTTACTAGGGTATACACATCAAAGACAAATTGGTCAGTTTTCTGGCTAAGCCCACCTTTTCCCTTCAGCTTAAGCTGCCCCATCCATGCCTACTGAGAGAGGTAACCCTGGGTACAAGGGCACCTGGTTTGTCACAGCTAACAAAATGGGGGCATTAGTATTTAAAGCCAGTCATGAGTTAAACGTCAGTGGCTCTCAAGACTGCACTCAGAAACACTTAACCATCGTTCTTTTGGGGGTGGGTGTGCAGAGTCAAGGGGCTTCCCAGGTAGCGCTGGTGGGAAGGAACCTGCCTGCCAATGCAGGAGACATAAGAGTTGTGGGTTCGATCCCTGCGTCCGGAAGACCCCCTGGAGGAGGGTGTGGCAATCCACTCCAGTCTTCTTGTCTGGAGAATCCCGTGGACAGAGGAGCCTGGTGGGCTACAGTCCACAGGGTCACAAAGACTTGGACACGACTGAAGCGACTTAACACACACACATGCACAGTCAAGACCAGAGGTGGCAGAATGGCATGTGACAGGCTGGTGAAGATCCACCTTACAGGTGAGAACCGCACCTGAGGTGGCTGAGAGGAAGTTTCAGAGACAACAGGCTGAGTGGCCTCAGCTGGAAAAAGAGAAACCAAGGGAATGCCTGACTTGGTTCCTAACCAAGTCCCTAAGCCATCCTCAGAAAACTTACCTGTAGTAACAATAGCTATACAATAACTAATCAAAGCTATGATTTAGTGAGTGTTCCCTCCATGTCAAGGTAGCATTCTAAGTACTTTATTTGTATTAACACATTTAAAGCTCACAACAAGCTCATGAGGTAGGTGCTGTTATTAACCACATTTTACAGATGAGAAAACTGAGGTACAGAGTGGTCAGGTAAACACAGCCAATGAACTAGACAAAAACCCAAGCAGTCTGATTCCAAAACCCAGACTCATAATCACCATGCAATTCCCCTTCTCATATACAACCTGGATTCATTTACTTCTTGCCATGAGGAAGCCTCCCTCTGTATTCTTTCAAGTTTGAGTGTCTTATTGCTTGAAGTCAAATGAGCTCTGAACTAGAACAGTATGTCAGCTGCATGGTACGGAAATCCAGCCATGCTAAAGTGCACAGTGACGGTTTCCGTCTATCAATGTCATCCTCAGGATTTTGTTGGTGCTACCTAAAGAGAGGGCTTCCCCTGGTAGTTCAGTGTTAAAGGAGCCACCAGCCAATGCAGGAGATGTGGCTTCGATTTCTGGGTTGGGGAGATCCCTTGAAGAAGGAAATGTCTCCTGCATTGACCGGCAGATTCTTTTTTCTCATCTGTAAAAAGTGGATTGCCATTTTCTTCTCCAGTAACTCATCCTTGCCTGGAAATCCCATGGACAGAGGAGCCTGGCGAGCTACAGTCCATGGGGTCACAAAGAGTCAGACACGACTTACTGACTAAACAACAACCACCTAAAGACAAGTCATGGCTTCATCTCTGGGATCCTAACTTGAGAAGTATGGAAGCCTAGTATTGCCCGGGAGCTATTTTACACCATGCAGGTAGCTTATGCTGGAAAAAAAAAAATCCCCACAAAGAACGCCAAGCCAAGAAGCAGAGTGCCTTGATGATCTTGTTGGCACAGGAAACCACATTTTTCTTCCAAGTATATAAGCCACCAAAATCCTTTTCTTCTTATTAGTTCGAGTTAGATCCTGTTTCTTGCAACTGAAAAAGTTCTAACATATACAGTTATTGTATTTAGTATGGCGGTGGTGGTTTAGTCATTGTTAGTTGCTCGGTCGTGGCCAACTGTCTGTGACCCCGTGGGCTGGAGCCCTCCAGGCTCCTCTGTCCATGGGCTCTCCCAGGCAATAATGCTGGAGTGGACTGCCATTTCCTTCTCCAGGAGATCTTCCCGACCCAAGATCGAACTCAGGTCTCCTGAATTGCAGGTGGATTCTTTACTGATTTTGCTATCAGGGAAGCCTTGTATTTACTGTAGAAATGACCTACGTATCTGTGGTTGGCACTCATTATCCACACCCCAAGATATCCATGTCCTAATACCTGGAGGCTATAAATATATTACCTTTCATGACAAAGGGGGATTAAAAGTCTGCCAATGGAGTTCAGGACCTAACCTTAAACTAGGGAGATGATCCTGGATTACCTAGGTGGGCCAGTGAAAGCACAAGGTCCCTAAAAGTGAAGAAGGCAGGCAAATGAGATTAGTGTGATGCAGTGTGAGAAACAATCAACTTGCTGTGGCTGGCTTTGAAGAGGAAGGAAGAGGAGCACAAACGAAGGAATGCGGGCTGTGTCAAGACGCTGGAGAAGGTAAGGAGAGAAAACAAAGGCTCTCACAGAGACTCCGGAAAGGAATACAGCCGTGCTGACACCCGGATTCAGCCCAGTGTGACCACTGTCAGATTCCTGACCAACAGATGGAGAGGTAATAAATATGTGTTGGTTTAGGTAAATGGATAAAGAAGATGTGGTATACATATACAATGAATACTACTAGGCCATGAAAAAGGGTAAATGTTTCACATTTGCAGTAACATGGACAGACTTGGAGGGTTTTATGCCAGGTGAAATAAGTCAGACACAGAAAGACAGATACTGTATGATACCACTTATACGGGGAATCTAACAAATACCACAAACTAGGGAATGTAACAACAAAAAAAGAAGCAGATTCACCAGATATAGAGAACAAGTTAGTGGTTAACAGCGGGGAGAGGGGAGGAAGGAGGTGCAATACAGAGGGAGGGGAGGAGGAGGTACAAACTATTAGGTATAAAATAAGCTACCAGGGTGTATTGTACAATGTGGGGAATATAGCCAATATTTTATAAGAACTATAAATGGAGTATAACCTTTAAAAATTGTGACTACATTGTACACTTGTAACATATGATATGGTACAACTATACTGCAATTTAAAATATATTAAAAATAAATATTTGTTGTTTTATGCCACTAAATTTATGATGATCTGTTATAGCAGCAACAGAAAACTAACAGAGTATAAACTCTCTGGTTATAAAACCTAGGGACTAAATAGGGACTTCCCTGGTGGTCCGGTGGCTAAGACTCTGTGCTCCCAATGTTGGGGGGCGGGGGGTCGGTCCCTGTTCAGGGAACTAGATCCCATTTGCTGCAACTAAGAGTTTATATGCTGCAACTAAGACCCAGCACGGCCAAATAAGTAAATGAACAAATAAATAAAATATACTTGAAAAACATCCAGGGATTGTGAGCGGCCTGAGACTCACCTGGTACCAGTGTGCGTTCACTCAACAGCCCTTCCACAGCCACACTGCCCGTGGCCCTGTCAGACCTCAATGAGCCAAGCTTGCCTGCCCTTGACTTTTAGGGCTCCCTGCCTCCAGGATCTTCAATGTTCTCATTAGAGTCTAAAGCAGAGCTCTGCCAGTTTGGGATGCCCATCTTTCCCCTTTATTATACAATAATGACCCGCTTCCTAGATTTGTTTTAAAAGTAAAAAGAGAGGGGGAGAAAAGGCAAGTTCAAAACCCAGTGAAGACTTCGTGAGCATTCTGGCACGAGAGAGAGGAAAATAAGCAAAAACATCTGTTTTCCTAGATTTTGGAAACAAGCTTCTGGGCCGATGGGTCCTGTCTGAATGGTGAATAAAGAAGGGTTTGAAAGAGTCCCAAGCACACCCAAGTCGTTGGTACAATGAGGGGCTCTGATTTCACTGCTGGAGTCTGTCTGAGGGTAGTCAGCTCCTGAACCCCCAGGGTATCCCAGCGGCTTTCAGAGTCAAAGGAACGGGACACTCTTTCCAGTTTTTCCTCATAGAATGTTCTCTTAGAAACCCACAGCCCTATTCCCCCAGGAAATGCTCAGTTTTACAAGGGCTCTGTAAAAGATTAAGACAGGCCCATGGTCTAGAGAAACCTTAAATTTTATTTGTTTAATGTTAAGCCTATGACAAAATCCAGACGGTTCCAAGTTAAGGGTAAACTTTGAAAATGTTTGGCTTTTCTTTTGACTCAACCCTGTATGTGCACGAGAGCAAGAGAGAGGTTAAGTTACATGA